TTACATTTTCCTTACCTTTCAACACGCTCTTAAAAAGAGCCTACTGTGTGCCCAGCGTTATGCTCAGAATGAAAAGACATGAGCTCTACTTCTGAGAGTGTGGAGAGAGAGGCTTCCAGGATCCCTTTATCATACAGAGCACTGGATGCATGTGTGGTTCTGTAGGACACTTTCAGGATACACACATATTTGCTGTGTAGAAGCTCATAGTATAATCATGAAAAAAAGGTACAAAATATGGAAAGATAGTATGTTTTATGATATAATAAGCCACATGACTGTCTGTCTTGTCTAAATACCTGACACAATACGTAACACCCACAATTTAGGGAAGAAAAGCTTTATTTGGTTCACAGTTTGTAGAGGTTTCAAGCAGGGTGGCATGACAGGAAGCAGAGGGAGGGATGAGGGAGGGGGGAGGGAGATATAGACCCTTCCAGGCCACACCCCCAGTGACCCACCCCTCTGTCCAGGCTTCACCTCCTCCTAAAATCACACTTAGCTGTGAAGTCATCAGGGGAGAATCACTAATATGAGTCCACTGATGAGTATCCCACTCCCATGATCCAAGCACCTCGCACAAGCCCCATCTATGATTGCATGGGGCTTTGGGGGGGACATCCAAATCTAAGCCATAATATCATAGGTCAAACTATATTCTTAAACCTAATTTACCTTGTAATAAAGACAACATTTTGATGAACTTTATGATTCCTCTATGTATGTTTTAATTGGATCCAGACTTAGAGAAAGGTAAGGATCCTTCCCAACAATCAACATGACAACCAAAGGAAACTGACAATAACAAGGTTTTTGTACTTTATAAAGTTACTTCCCAGCCTGTATGCTGTTGACAACTCTTAACAACACAGGTGATAGGCACCATTTTAAGACATGTTGTTATTAATTTGGTTCCTCATACTGGATCACAGTCACCCATACCATACATACTTTTCTAATGAAAATACATACTTTAGCATAACAGTAGCCAGCTGTGCATCTCAGGAAGCAATCTTTATGTTCATCCACCTTATATGCTGAACAGCAAGGTGTATGTGTGTGTGTCAGAGTGTAAATGGGTGAGTTTTACTTACATTTTGCACTGTTGTTACAGTTTTGCATATTTATAATTCATTTTATTAAATATTTTCTTTTGCATTTTCTTGTGGAATTAGCCCAGTTCAGTACAATGTCTCATGAAAATCCACTTTTACAATTTTGGGAAGAGGCTAAAAGTGAGTCATCAGGTGACCTGGCTACCGATGATGACTTGGATCATGTAAGCCAAAGAGGTTAGCAAGATATGGTAGGTAGAGATCTGACAGAGGAGTAGAGAATGAAGACTAATGCTAAAACTAGGTCAGGAAATGTTATGAGGTTCTTGCCAGGGTGAAACCTATTGGACAGAATACCAACACTGAGTCAATGTGGGAAATTGTTTGTAACAGATGATATACTACAAGATGTTTTGAAATACACTAATAATGAAATACAAGAAAACATTTATGCATCAATGTTAATACTCAAAGCTGAACTAAAAGCCTTCTTAGCAGGACTTTATCATTCTAATCATCAGTGTCTAAAGGATTTATGGATAAGTGGCATTGAGATTTTTAGAACAGTAATGACACTCAAGATTTGGTTTCCTTCAAAATTGCCTATGTTTTGATGACAAAAAGACCCACCAAGAAAGAAAAAATCCAACAATTTGGCCGCTACTGACTCATTTATTGAAAGCTTTGTTTCAAAATGTAAAGCAGTTTATATACAGTCCAAATACATGATAATTGACAAACAACTTGCATCATTTCATGTTTGTGGAAGCTTTCAGTAATATATGCCAAATAAACTTCCAAATATGGTATAAAAATACATGCTGTGGTAGACGCGAAGACATTTTACATCTTGAATTTGGAAATTTATCCTGGAATTCAACCACCAGGTCTTTATTTGTGCAGTAATAAACCATATGACTTTGTGAACAGACTTGCTGCACGTATTCCAAAAAGTAACCCAAATGTTACATTTGACAGTTGGTGCACTAGTTACCCATTGATGTTACATTTGCTAAATGAACACCCGTTGACCAACACAGGAACTATTGCAAGAGCAAAGCTGAGATTCCTGAAAAATGTTGCAAGTTCGCAACAGAGAAATATATGTACATCTTTGGATTTCAGGAAGACATAACATTGGCCTCCTATATGGCAAAATAAAACAAAGTAATATTGATACTGTCAATGTTAGACCATGATGATAAATTCAATATTGAGGCTGGGCATGGTGGTGTATGCCTGTAATTCCAGCACTTAGGAGGCTGAAGCAGGATGATCCTGTAAATTCAAGGTCATCCTGTGCTCCAAAGTGAGTTCCAGGCTAGCCTGGACTACATGATGGCTAAGAGAAACAAAGGAATATTGATACTGTCAACATCACACCCTGTTGATAAGATTGATAGTGAGGCTGAGTAGGGAGGCTGAGGCAGAAGGATGCTATAAATTCAAAGTCAGCCTGTGCTACATAGTAAGTTCAAGACTAACCTGGACTACATAGATCCTGTCTGCAAACAAAGAGTGATAGTGACTCTTCAACACAAACAGAGCCAGAAATGATCACATTTTACAACAAAACAAAATTCGAGTAGATGTCATTGGTGAATTATGCAGCAACTATGATGTTACTCAAAATACAAATCACTGATCATGTTTTACTCAATCCTAATATGTGAGCCATAAATTGTATCATAGTTTACAAAGAAAGTAACACGCACAAAATATGACAGAGAAATTTTCTTAGAGGTTTGGGGCTGGAAATGATAAATGAGCAATTACAACAAAGGGAGAATAGTATGTATCTGCCCAAGAAGCTCTGCAAAAGAATTCTGGAGCAGACTGGTGAACAGACAATTGAAACATCACAAGAACCTCCTGAGAACACAGGGGGACCAGCAAGATGTCAAGTATGTCCTACCAGAAAGACAGGAAAACAAAACATGTAGGCAGTGTTAGTGATCTTGTGTGTGGAACATGCTGTTGTCATGTGTGAAAACTGCCTTAGGTGTGATAATTGAAGTAAGGATTATTTTCCTGGTAGAGTTTTATTTGTATTTTCACTGTAGTTCACATAGCAGTTCATTTCTGCTGCTACTTTTTAGAATTAGTAAGCAGAACAGTTGATGTAGAAAATGTTGATGTTCATTCTAAGCATCCAGTATATATTTGATATTTTATTGATATTTAATGTTTCTGCTAAGTGGACATTGTATTAACTGTAATAGGAAACTCCTGACAAAAGAGGAAGATGAGAGAGATGGCAGGTGTGATCTGCCAAATAGGAAAGCAAAGCTAAGCACAAGTGCTGTCAGTGTGAGCAAGATTTGTGTGTGGAACATGCTGTTGTCACGTATTAAGACTGCCTTAGGTGTGATAACTGAAGCAAAGATTATTTCCATGGTAGAGTTTCCTTTATATCTTCATTGTAGTTCAAATAAGAATTTATTTTTGCTGTTATTTTTTAGATCTTGTAAGCAGGTAAACAGTTGATGTTGAAAATGTTGGTGTTTATTCTGAATATTCATTACATATTAAAAATTTAATATTTTATTTCCTGTTAGGTATACATTGTTTAATATAATAAAACTCATAAAATTAAAATTAATAATTCATCAGTAGAAATATCTTTAAAAAATAGATCTGGGCATTACATACCCCCATAATGTACCTTTTCAAAAATTTGCCATGATGCCTTTGGGGCCACAGAAATGCAAACCCCTCCAATACCACATCTCATCCCCAGGATCCTAGAGCCAGGAAGTTGGGCCCAAGTCTTCTTACCGTAAGTTCAGGGCTTTCCCCAACTCCTACAGCGTCCTGTGTATCACCCACATCACAGCTCTTACACCTGGAAGATTTCACGACCCCTCAAAACACTTGTGCCCTCACTTTCTGAATCTTGGAGCTTTTGCAGCTTTAGCCAGTACACTCCTACAGTCTCCACTTCTAGCGTGCCTTGTCTTGTTTTAGTAGCTTTAGTCGTTGCTGTTTTTTGTCCCACCCCCAATCTGTTTGAAGAAATAAAACAAACAGTAACAGGATAGAGTTATTGGCTCTCAAGTCAGATGTTGGCTGGATATTATTTGGAAAAGCAGTGCTGCAACCCAGAGGCATAGGGCCACTCCTTTTACAAACTGAAGAGTCTGTAGTTCATTTAGCTTTGTTATTTTTTTGGTTAGTAAGCTCTGGTGGTGCCATCCTTATGGCTATATTTTTAGAAGTCTTAGATTATTATAGCAACTGTGAAAAAGAATGAGAAAAGAAATTTGGCTCCCAACACAACATGCATTTAATTCAATATTAAATTTGTCTTCCTCCAGCCGTCAAAGAGGCTGTATCTACTCCTGCTCCTGACTGAAGGCTCCTCCACTTGCGTGATTGCTGAAGGGGCTGCCAGATGAACAGAGATGATTTGGGTTGCTGTTGGGCCTCCTCTTGATCCAGCTTATTCTGAGTATCCACTGGGCCTGGGAGAGTTGAGTGGAGAAGGCCACAAAGGAAGCATGTGTAACTGCCATCTCATTCTCTGTGTCGAGTGAAATGTCAACAGTTTATGTTGATGCTGATATGCTAGTCACAGAACTAGCCTCATTCAAGATGATGTGATGAGACAGCAATAGGGCAACTTCACTGTGTGTCAAGGAGTGACAAGGAAGTGAGGAAGTATAACCATGGCAAACCACTGGGGCACATCAGCACAGTGAAGAATACAAAGTATTAGTCCTTCAACTGTTTCTGTCATGCTATGGTTAATTAGAGAAAAGCTTTTGAAGAGGTTGCAAAAAAATAAGCTAGAGTGGGTACCACTCTAAGTAGGAAGGATGTAAACTGATGTTTCACTGCCACCCCTGGGTCCTACAATAATGATCCCTTCTCACATGCCCCTCGACTGTCTCTGAGGTCCTTGCTAGGGTAAAAGTACAGTGTATTTAAGGACCACTCCAGACGTCTGCCTTGGTTTCTCCATTGGGCACTCTAATTCTCCATGAACATTGGAACTGTATGTAAGTTGACTTCAGGATTGCCTGCTGAGCCCCTGCCAACATCCTCCCTAAGGGAACTGAATTCTGTTTTCGTAAGTTCTCAAGCACTTGAAGTGTGCCTTCACAGGCTGCTCACCAGAACTACAACAGAGAAGCAGACTTGTGCTTGAAGCTTTGTGTTTTGCCTAAGCTCAGACTTTACAGCTGAACTCTTCCCAGATTAAAGCTTAATATTTCAGGCCCCTTTAGATATCAGGAGTTGAACTTTCCAAGTTATCAACAGTTACATTATCGGCAGCCACGTTAACTTCCTCCAGTCCTACACCTGCACTTTCTTGGCTCTTCTTTCTCATTGTCCTGTGTTCATTGCTGAAGGGTCACCATGCCCTACTCCAAGCCCACCCAACATAGCTCACATTTTCCAAGGCATTTACAGTACTTCAAGAGAAAAAAGGTACAAAATATGGCCACAGGACTGGTGAAACATCTGTTTTGGGCCTTGTTGTTTTGTTTTGTTTTGTTCATCCAGGAGAAGGATGATATGGTCCAATGAAGAAAAAGGAGAACATTTTTTTTAAAAGTCATATTCAAGGAGTCTAGGGTCCCAAGGTAAATAATTAAGAACTACAGAAAGGGAGAATAAGGAATCAGAAAAGGGGTCATGGTTGGATCCATAGTTGTTATGAAGAGATCAGGAAATTAGGTCAAGGAGGTAGAAGGCTAGCAGGGGAGACGAGAGAAAGAGGAAGAAAAAGAAAAGAAAATTAAGAGTTCAGAGAACAGGGAATATTTTGAGCACCGTCAGTTCCACAGTTAGACATCATAACAATGTGGATACTTTGAATGCTTTCTTTTTTATTTGCTACTTGATACAATTTCTGTAATATAGCAGAAGTCCTCAAAAGTCCATTATAGAGTTGTCTGAAAAATCTCAGTGGTTTGGCAGTTGATGATTTGCAAGTATCTCACAAAATCCCATTGATTGATTACTGAGGCTGTCTCAGCCAACTTCATAAGGGGACTGATGGGGTGAATTTCAGCAGGAGACCAAGTAAGGATATCAAAGGCAAAGATGTCTGAAGAAATGAAAGATAATAAAAAGCCTAAAGTGAATGAAATGAACATGAGACTACTACCATTTGAATACCAAAGTTTGTTACATTTGCTGAGTCTAAAAGTCAGTGATGAATCTGCTCACTGTACTAAACTATTTTTACCAGAGAAAAGAGGGGATCAAGGAAGCAGCCAGACCTTAGCGATGGGTCTTCACGTTCAACAGAAATTGTGACAGGAGAGACATTGGATATTGAATTTTCACTTGTAGCCAAGGCTGCACAGATACCATGTAGGATAACCCTGATCATCTTATTTTCCCAACTGATGACATTTCACCTGAGCATGAACCTGGCCTCATAAGTTTAAATTAACTTTTCTAGTGAATAAATTTTCTTTAAAGGAATAAAGAACTTTTAAGCTCTTTGAATAATATAGTGACTTAAGTGATTATCATACATACAGTAAAAATTTTTAGTAAGAAATGGAATTTTAGCTTATGAAAAATATAGTAATTATATTTTTTATTGTATAAAAACCCCAAATTTATAACAAAATAAGAGGATAACAGTAGTTAATACTTTACATTATCTTCAGAATAGTTATTCAGAATATAAAACAAACCAAAACAATTCTTACCAAAAATAAAAAGATAATAACACAAAACATTCTTGATTAGTGAATTAAAATAAAGTAGTAGTATAAATAAAACAAATTAATACATATATTGAATTAGCTGTGAGCCAGTGGAATATATAATTTGGGAAAGTATTGAACTTCTCCCTCATTTCTATTTATCTCTCTTCTGTTTTGCGCTCTCTCTGTCTCCCTCCATATGTGTGTGTGTTTCTCATTTAAGAGAAAGCACACAATATTTGAGCTTATGTGTCTGACTTATTTTACTTAACATTATGTTTTCAAAGTACATCTGTTTACCTACAAATGCCTTGTTTATCTTTCTTTATGGCAGTATAGAACTCCATTGCATAGAAATGCTGCATTTCCCTTATCCATTCATCTGTTGAGGGACATTTACAGTATGCTGTTTTCAAGATCTACCTGTTACAAATTATGCTGCTGTAAACATGGGTATGCATATGTCCCTGTAATGTCAGTATTTTGACTCCTTGGGGAAGATACCCAGAAGGGGAATAGCAGGGTCAAATGAAATTTCTATTTTTAATTTTTGGAGGCATGTCCATGCAGATTTCCATAGTGGTTGTACTAGTTCACATTCTTACCAGTAATGTAGAAGAGTTCCTTTTAAGTTCTTTATATATTTTTAATGTTTGTCCCCTATCTGTGAGATGGCTGGCAAATTTTGTTCTGATTCTGTAGATTGTTTCTTCTGTCCATTGCCTGTTTCCTTTGCGGTACAGAAGCTTTGTAATTAGATATGATCATGTTTGTCGAGTCTCATTATTTCTTGTGTCACTGTGATTCTGTTCAGAAAGTCTTCACCTATGTCTTCAAGCATTGTACCTATTTTAGCTTCCAGCAGATTACGTGTTTCTGTTTTAACATTTAAATCTTTGATCCATTTTGATTTTAGTTTACTATTTGGTGAGATATATAGGGTCTAGGCTGAATTTTTCTGTGTGTAGATACCGAATTTTCCAAGCATCATTTATTAAAGCAGTTAACTGTCCTCCAGTTTATGTATTTGGCTCCTTTTTCAAAGATAAATAGCTGTGGGTGCCTGGTGGTATTTCTGCTTCTTTTATTCTGCTCCACTGATCTACATGTCTTTTTGTGCCAGTACCATTCTGTTTTAATCACTATAGCTTTATAATAGACCTTCAAGTCTGGGCTTACTATGCAGCCCACTTTGCTTTTGTTACCCAGGATTGCTTTTGCTATTCTGGGACTCTTCTGATTCTATATAAATTTTAGGCTTGTTTTCTCTAGCTCTATGATGAATGATGTTGGTATTTTGATTGGGATTGTATTAAATCTATAAATCAGTTTTGGTAGTATAGTAATACCTCAGTTCATGAACAAATTCAATTCACAAACAATTTGGTTCACAAACAAAAGTGTTCAGCAAAATTTTGCTTCCATTCACAAACTCCACATCAGGTAACAAACACAACCCTGGCTATCTTCCCCACACCAGTACAAACACAGGCATCTTCCTCCAAACTATAAAACAAATTAAGTTCATAAACCAATGTGCCACTGTATAGCCATTTTGATTTTATTCATTCTGCCTTTCTAGGAACAAGTGATATCTTTCCATTTTCTGATTTCCTCCTCAATTTCCTTTTATGCAGTGATGTGACTTTCATTGTACAAGTCTGCATTGGGTGACAAACATAACTATGGCCATGTTCCCCACACAAACACAAATAAAGCCATCTTCCCCCAAATTGTAAAACAAATTGAGTTCCTAAACTGAAGTACTACTGTATTTAATTTTTTAATGCTTTGTGAATGGCATTGTTTTCTTAATTGCTTTTTCAGTGAGTTCTTTTAGTGTATAGAAATGCTATTTTTGTGTGTGTTTATTTTGTATACTGCTACACTGCTGAAGTTGGTTATGGATTCTAGGAGTCTTTTGGTGGAGTTTTTTGAGTCTTATCATCTACATATAATGGTGTTTTGACTTTATCCTATCCTGTACAGATCTTTCTCTCACTTGATTGATCTGGCTAATGTTTCAAGGACTATGTTGAACAGGAATAATGCAATAGACATCCTTGTCTTGTTTCTGATTTTAGAGGAAAGGCTTTCAGGTTTTTCCCATTTAATATGATGTTGAGAATAGGTTTGTCATAAATTACTTTTATTGTATTGAGATAAAAACCTTCTATACTTATTTTCTTCTGAATTTTTATGATGAATGCATGTTAGATTTTATCAGAGGTCTTTTCTGCATCTGTTGTGATTTTTGTCCTTGCTTTTGTTTATATGGTGAATTACATTGATTTATGTATGTTGAACCATCTTTGCATCCCTGAGATGAAGCCTGCCTCATCATGATGTATGATCTTTTTGATGATTTATTGCAGTCTGTTAACTAATATCTTGTTAAGGATTTCTGAGTCTATGTTCATTAGAGAAACTGGCCAATAGTTCTCTTTTTTGGTTGGATCTTTGTCTGGTCTGGGGATCATGATGTTAGCTTCCAAGAGTGATTTTGGAAGTATTCCTTCTCTCTCAGTTTCATCAAGTAAATTTGAAGAGTGTTGATATTAGATCTTCCCTGAACTTTTTGTAGAATTCAGTTGTGAATCCATCAGGTCCTGGGCTTTCGTTAGTTGTTTGTTTATTTGTTTGTTTTACTACTTTAATTTCACTGCCTCTTATTAGGTTGCTTAAAATTTTTAAGTCTTCTTGGTTCAGTTTTGGCAATTTATATGTATCTAGGAATATTTTCATTTTTTTTAAGTTCTCCAGTTTGTTGGCATATATGTGTTATGGTTTGTGTCTGCATGTCCCCCAGATCCTCATGCAGTCATGGGACAGGCTTTTAGAGTTTATGATTGATCCATGGTCCAATGTTGGAATTATGGATGTGAGTGCTACACCTGCCCTGGGGCGGGTATTTTGCGTATAATGTAAGGGAGGGAAAGAGGCTGCTTGCCACTGCTCCTCCCTTTTACTCTTGGTGCTTTTGCTCTCTTCTGCCTCTATGAACGGTTGCCCTCTGCCATGTGCCACTCTCCCTTGGAGCCAGCGAAGTATGGACTGAAACCTATACCAACTGTGAGCTAAATAAACCTTCCTTCCTTAATTTTGGGTGTCAGGTATTTTGTCCCAGCAACAAGAGAAAAGTAACCAAGACAATATGTTTGGGAAGCAGTCGCTAAAAATTTTGTGAAATTCGGTAATGTCCATGTGATTTTACTTTTTCATTTCTAATTTCATTAATTTGTGCCTTTTCTTTCATTTTTTAGTAAGATTGGCCAAGGGCTTGTCTATTTTATTTATTCTTTCAAAGAACCAGCTCTTTGATTCATTTGTTGGGGTTGGATGGTTGCTTTGATCCGAGGAAGGGTTAATCTCCAATTCATTAATTTATGCTCTGATTTTTATAATGTTCTTCCTTGTATAAGCTCTGAGTTTGGATAATTCGTGTTTCTCTAAGACCTTGATATGTATCATTAGGTTATTTAATTGGGCTTGTTTTTGTTTTTCTGATGTGGACATTCATGGCTATAAACTTCCCTCATAGGACTGCTTTCATTGTGTCCCATAAGTTTTGGTATGTTGCACTGATATTATCACTTAAAACTAAAAACTGCCTTATTTCTTGTTTAATTTCCTCTGTGGTCCATTGATTATTCATAAGCATGTGTTGTTTACCTTTTGTGTGTTTGCATAGGTTCTGTGGGTTTTTTGCTATTGATTTCCAGTTTCACTACACTGTAATTTAATAGTGAGTATAGTAAAAATTTCATTCTTCTGCATTTACATAGGCATACTTTATTAGCTAGTATATGGTCTTCTTTAGAGAAAGTACATATGCAATTGAATGTATATTCTGTTATTGTTGGCTGGAACACTCTGAATATATCTATTAAATCCATTTGTTTGAAGGTTTGGTTCAGGTCTTTGTTGATTTTTTGTTTTGTTGACCTATTTGTGATAGTAAGATATTGAAATCCCCTACTGTTATTCTATGATTGATGTTTATCTGATCTTTTGTATCCACTAGAGTTTGTTTATGAAGTTGGCTGTACTGTGGTTTGGTGTATATGTTTATCATTTTTATCTCTTCCTGTTGAATAGTTCCATTAACAAATAAGTAATCTCCTTCTTTCCCACTTGTGATCAGCTTTGGCTGAAGTCCATTTCTTCTGAAAATCCTGCTTGCTTTTATGTTCCTGTTGCATGGAATATTATTGTCCATTCTTTGACTTTTAAATCTATGGAGTGTATGTATCAGAGAGAGAGAAAGAAATATGCTTCTTGAATATAGCCTACTGTTGAATTTTGTTTCTTGATTTATTCTGCTAGCCTGTGTCTTTTGATTGGCAAATTGAGTCCATTTACATTGATAGTTACAATTGATAGAAAT